GAGAGAGAGAGAGAGAGAGAGAGAGAGAGAGAGAGAGAGAGAGAGAGAGAGAGAGAGAGAGAGAGAGAGAGAGAAAGAGAGAGAGAGAGAGACAAAGATAGAGAGAGAGACAGACAGACAGACAGACAGACAGACAGACAGACAGAGAGAGCTGCCATCCATCCACCATCGCCTCCCTCCTCCCTCCAACACGCCCCTGCATCATCGCCCATCTTCCTCCCTCCATCGGCTCCTTCCACCATCGCCCTCCACCATCACCTCCCTCCTCTTCCCTCCATCCACCCACCATCACCTCCCTCCTCTCTCCATCACCATCTCCCTCCACCATCAACTCCTCCAAATCCTGACACCACCATGAACCTGCAAAACCCAACATTGCCTCCCTCCTTTCTTCATCCACCCACCATCACCTCCCTATTCTTTCCATCACCACATCCCATCACCATCACCCCCACACAAAACCCCAGAACCCGGCACCACCAAAAATAAAAAAGACCCCAGAATCTGGCCCCTCTCCCCAAGCRCAGAACAACCCCCCGACCCAAAAAAAAACATTTTTTTTTTTGCTGTGTTTTTAACACGATTGGGTGACCCAGTGATGAGACCTGCCCGGCCGTCATGACCAGGTGACCAGCCGGTTGGCAAAATCTTCCAAGTATTTTTCTTTTCATAACACCAATTTCGTCAAAAATGGACATTTTTTATTTTTTGAACTAAATTGAAACCAACTAAATTGGCCCAATTGAGGTCAAAAGTTTTTATTATTATTTTTTTTCTTTTTCAAATGCGCAGGGGCCATGCTAATCTTCTCTGTATCATTCCAATTTTAACGGATGTCCCGAAGGACGAGGTTGAAATTTTGCCTCCTGAGGGGCCGGCGTTCTTAGATTACTACCCCCTGGACTCTAGCTAAGTCCAGGTACATCCTGGGAGTCCAATGTTCTTAAAGCACTGTACCCCCTGGACTCCAGCTAAGTCTAGATACATCCAGGGGGTCCGGCATTTTAAGAACGCCAGACCCTCAAGAGCTCAAAATTTTGAACTAAATTGGGCCCAGTTTAGTTCTTTTCAATTTCGAAAAAAAAAAAATAAAGTGTCCATTTTGACTAAATTCCTGTTTCATCATCCTCCTGGGGCAAGGTCCCATTAGCAGTCGGATAGGAGTGTGGCCGATCCAGTGTGACACTGAGTGGCAGCGGCCAGACAAGTTCATTAGGAATTTCTGGGCTGAGAAAACAGGAAAAAGGACCAAAAAAAAAAGAAGAAACAGAGACCTCCCACCGGAAATCACAGCAGCATGCTTCCCAGCCATCAGATCACAAATGATCTGATGGTGATCCTGACACAAAGTAACCGCCACATTTTCTGGAATAAACTCGACTTCTGACAGCAGTGATCCTGACACCCTCCATATACTCCGTGATTGAAGGAGGGCTCCACCCAATGAGATAATTGCACAACAGCAAGTAAAATGCTGAAAATCTTCTATCCAGTGGGCTAAGGCCGACCCCAACCTCGTTTGGGGTTGGCCACACCCCCAACCGATTGAAAAGATTCTGGCGGGAAGCTGCCTTTGCACGGGCATGCCCAATGTTAAGGAGAGGAGGAGGGGAATGAAGATCTCGTTACGTTTTCGGGTAATACATGTAAAGTACTGACGGTGGGATCACGAGTAGTGCACGGCAGGATTTGGGTCACTCAACTGCCCCACCAACTCGTTTCTATCCTATCCCGTAGCTGGTGGGACCTCGCCCTGTTCTGGGAGGAAGTGGGGGAAAAGAGGCGAGAAAAGGGAAACAAAGCAACCCCACACGCCCCCCCTTCCACGCATTTGCCTTCTCCCCGCTATTCAATGTTTTCTGACTGACTGATGGAAAGAGGCATTCTTAAACCACCAGTACCTTTCCCTACTTGAAAAACAAATACCCGGCGAAGTGGGGTTTGGCATCAGGCTTGTAGCACAACGGAAGCAGAAGTGCATGGGCCGGGAAAAGGGGCAAGTGGACTGCAAGACGTCCTGTCGGTGTGCAATGCATGTGGAAACGCGTGGACGGTGAAGGCGGTGAGGGGGAAAAGAGAAAAAATAAAAGCAGAAAGGAACGTTGTTTTGCTTTCTTGTTTCTGACGAGTGTCCGCCAGCAGTTTGGATTTTAGTGCTTCACTGTAACGTTAGCAGTGGATGAATCTGAGCGCACGAGTTCCTTGAGCCACAAGGAATTTTCCTTGTGGCACGTAAGGGAATTTGGCGGCGGTGTTCCACACATCCTTGGGAACGTCCCCCGAGGACGTTTCCTTGTGGCCTGCCCGCACCCATTTTCATATGAAGATATGCGGCCGCGGGCGGGGGTGTCCGTGGTCCAGCGTCCGGTGTCCGTGTGGAGACGGCGTGGTCCAGCGATGTCCGGCAGAAAAGGGCATGAGGCCGGCCACGAAAAGTAAAATAAAAAAAGGGGGACCTCTACGTTTGAAATTCAAAATTTGAAGTACAGCTGTGGTGACGGCGACGACGTTCGGCTTGCAGAGCGCAGACAGTGCAGGGCTGAATCGGCCTTAGCGGTGGCGTCCCTTCCACCAACCTCCCGGCCAGTGTACATGCACCGGGTGCGCTTATCAGCGTCGAGGTTCTCCTCCACATTGTCCGCGTCGTCACACGCTGTTCCGCCAGGGGGACGACATCCACAGAAAGGCGGCAGCTTTTCGGACCTCTCCTCAGGTGGTGAGCAGGTTACGTCTCTGGGGTGCGAGGATTGAGACGGCAGCGGAGAGACGTCATCCCTGTGGAGGTGGTGGCAATGGAGGGCGGCGGAGAGGGCGGACGTGCACTGTTGACACCGCTTGAGCGGGCAGCCGTGGCGGCGGCCGTGTCAACCGTTATTCTTCGTTGTCAGCAGGAGAGGGCGCTGGGACGAATGAAGGAGCAGTTGCGCGCATGTAGACTAAGGACGCTGATGCAAGCTGCGGATGACAGCCCCGACTACGCGGCAACTTCGGAGGCTGTCATTGAGCTGTGCTACACATTGGGTTACTGCGTCATTCCACGAGCGACACCGAGGTGGTGGATCAAACGCAGGACGGCGGGGACGTGGGAAGACCTTCGACAATGCGACGATGCCACGGATGACTACTTCAATGAGAAGCAGCACACCGCCAAGGAGCAGCAGAGGGAGCCGGCCGTACAGGTCGGCCATGAACTGCACGGTGGAGAGGGCAGCAATGAGCAAACGACGGCGGAAAAGGCATGAGTCTTATCAGACGTGCAGCATGTGACGACATGCATGGGAATACGACGCTTGTGAAGAAACCTCTTCTGTGGATAGACTGACGGCGCCGCCGGGAAAAATATAAAATTCCGACCGTTGATGCTGGCCGAAAACGACGTCGCCGCCCGATGGAGGCCCACCGCCAACAGTAGCCGTTTGGGGGCATTTGGGGACTATGCATACGTTCCTCGAGCGCGAGAGACCGCATGATGCCGGTCGAAAACAACGACGCCACCCGATGGAGGCCCACCACCATCAGTAGCCGTTGGAGTACGTTGGGGGACTACGCAGACGCCAGAGGGCGGGGGTGTCCGTGCTAACGCCGCTGGACCACATCTGGACCACCCAAGAACCAAAACTCTCCGTCGACGCATGTCTTCGTCGCTCTGTGAATCACGGTTCCTTGAGCTCCAAGGGACCTCACGAGGTCCCTTGGAGATAAGGAAGTTTTGCCTGGGGCCACAAGGATGTGCGAGGATCTGGGTCCTCGGCAGGCCTAAGGGCCCCCTGTTGCATCTGTGCCCGCCCTAAGTGAAGGCGGGCCTAACAAATTACGAGAGGCCCTCGGCTGTCAATTTCGTATTTGGGGTCCAGGCAGTTTCGTCGTGCCAGTTGGTTGAGGAAAACACAGGCCGAGCAGCGAGACCTTCGACGGCCTTCCAGGCCTTTCCGAAATGATGCAGGCCCTGGACGAGAATGGCAGCCTCATACACAGACAGTTGGGAGGCCCAACCGAATGAGGCCCAGTAGCTGCAAGAGAGGCGCAGCATCCTGGGGCCTACCGGAAGCTTCTGGGCCCAGGCCAGTCCAGCCAGACTGCTGTATGACGCAGGCTCTTTCCATATAGGAAAGAGCTCGCTGCCTGGCCTTCGGGTGTACAACAAGGGAAGACGTGAGAGAGAGTCAAGGGAGAGAGAGAAGGATGATGATGATGATGACGTGAGGGCACATACCTAGTATTGACGATGGTTCTGCATGTGCGACATCTTCAAGTACTTCGGAGGCTGCTGACGTCAACAGTTGCATTGTTAATTAGTAGGGTAGTAGTAGCTGTGTAGGGAGTAGGCTGGGCACCGAGCGTCAAGTAGGGAGATAGGGACTGGATACATATGTTGGTGGTGGCGAGAGCAAGCTCTCATTGACATTGGCTTTCAGTGCTACTATTCTCCATTGGTGTCATATTGGTGCAATGTTACTTTCTGAACACTGTGATACGATCTGGCTTTCAATGTGATTGTGCAATCTGAATATTGTCATCTCGCTATTGCTCACTTTCCTTGCAGATGCCACAAGGAATTTTCCTTGTGGCGTTCTCACATTCCTTTTTCAATTTCGTCCCCAAGGACAGGTGGAACAAGCGCGTCCTTGTGGATTTCACGTCCCCGAGGAGTGTCTAACGATGCCCTTGGTATCCCTTTTCACCTTTGTTTTCTCGTTTTTGAAGTTTTTTCCCTTTTTTGGAAGAATATTCTGGGCTGTTTGTGCTCTGACTCCCCGTGAGAGACAGGGAGCATTCAATGCCAGACAGCCCTTTCGATTTCAGGGCTTCATCGCAATGTTGCCACTTTCCAGAATGTATCTGGCTGCACTTCTGCGCCATAGTGGATGAATCGGACAGCAACCATGGCCAGAGCTTGGTTTCCCTTTTCACCTTTTCTTTTCCTTTTTTTTTTCTCCCTTTTTTGGAAGAAGACTGTCAGCTGTTTGTGCTCTTACTCCCTGTGAGAGAGGGGGAGCATTCCTTGCCCTCCAGCCCTTTCTATTCAGGGCTTCACTGCCATGTTGCCACTTTCCAGAATGTATCTGGCTGCACTTCTGGGCCGTAGTAGTGGATGAATGTGAGTGCAATCACGTGCAGAGTTTGGTTTCCCTTTGTCCCTTTGTTTGTTTTTTTCTTTTCTTTTTTTTTTGGAAGATTCTGCGCAGGTTGTGATGTGACTCCCCGTGGGAGACGGGGAGCAAAGAAGTACCTGCCAGGTAGTGTTTTCCAGAATGTATCTGACTGCACTTCTGGTGAGGCTTGGGTTGCTACACGAGTGGAAACAAGAAAACGGCAGCTTGGTTACGTTCCAGCTGCTGGCAGCAGGTCCAGCATAAGGGGCCATACCTGTGCCAAGCATCCAATGTCCCATATTAAGAACGGTGATGTAAGAGCAACAGAACAGAGTTCTTCGTGTTGCCCTTGCATGGGCGATTTTGAATCACTTTGCCCGTTGTTGTGTGGTGCAAATGTTTCAATCGACTCGAGTTTAGTCCAGTCATTCCCTCCTTCCCTACGTCCCTCCGTCCCTCCCTCTCTCCATTTGCGGTCGTTGAAGGTCCGTGCTTGATGGAGCTTTGTGCCTAATGCTCTTCTACGCTTTGTCTCCCTTTTTTTCTCTGCCCCGGAGCATGGATGTCATTGCTGTTGGTGGCTACTGGTTCTAAGGGCAAGCGAAATGAACAGAACGACCGCCCAACTGCTTTCACTAGCTACCAGGAAAAGTTCACAGAGAAATTGTGTCAGGGCATGCTCACACTGAAGCTTGTCGAGATGCATACAACTGTTCTTACGCACGGGGGCCGCACGGGAGATCCGCACGGTCCTGCGGCTGTGCAAGTATCTGTGTGTGTCGGGGGCGGCCGTGCGCACGGAAATGAAGCCTAGGTTATATCAAAATACAAAATTGCTATTTCAAAGTCGTGCTCTTTACATTCAGATATGTGTACCATTCACACACATGGCTGGTTCCATTGTACACAAATGATAAGTGTCCACTCCTCCGTGATTTTTACTGTTCTCTCTTTTTCTCGTCCTTTTTTTCCCAAACCACCACCCAGATTGGTTACCTTCCATGTAACACTACGATTTCACCTCCTGCTTCCCACAAATCCAGTTCAATCACCCTGACGCCATCGCGGAGTGCCTTTATGATCGGCTCAGGACTGCATTTGCTGCTCAGCTGGTTTCCTGTCAGATAAGAGTTATGCCCTGTCATAATGTAATAATGATTCAGAGGTGCAGTCATGTCGTGAATGACCTGCAAGAACACAAACAGGGAACGGATCAGGTTAAAAAAGACAGAAGGAACAACTAGGGCGCAGTCACGAAAACAGTTTCAAATTTCAAAATGCATTTCAAGCATCCCTCGGACACAACACACCCCCACCGGACCCTAAGGCTAGCTTGTATACATTCAACATTTTCAGGAAATTTCAGAATTTGCTTGGAATGCATTTTGAAACTCAAACCGTGACTGCGCCCTAGTTTTCCCTAAACAGAAACAGCCTCAAACAGGCAAATGGAGAGGCCACAGGAGCAGCGGCCATTGGACTCAGACCAACATCAGAGACAACAGCAACTAACATTGGTTCAAACTTGTGTTCTTCTTCTTCTTCTTCTTCTTCTTCTTCTTCTTCTTCTTCTTCTTCTTCTTCTTCCATTCATCTCCGCTCCTACACATTATTCTCCTATCGGAGAAGGGAGAGATGGGAGGAGCGAGATGTGGAGGGAACTGACATTGGTTCAAACTTCAAACTTGTGTTCTTCTTCTTCCTCTTCTTCTTCTTCTTCTTCTTCTTCTTCTTCTTCTTCTTTCTTCCATTCATCCCCGCTCCTACACATTATTCTCCTATGCGAGTTGCGAGGAGTGGAATTTTCTCACATTTCAGTTTTGTATTATGAAACGAGCAGGATGATATCAATTACTAGGGGGGAAAAAGAAGCCATTTGGCCAGGACCAACATCGAAACACCACACGAGCGAAGACGCCCATTGGAAACAGGAAATTGGAGAGCCGATAGGAGCTAAGTTCAGCTAACACAGCCATTGGACCAGGACCACCATGGAGAGACAGCAGCGAAAAGCAAGAACCACAAAAAAAAAAAAAAAAAAAAAAAAAAAAAAAAAAAAAAAAGAAGAAGAAGAAGAAGAAGGAGAGCAAGTTCTTGGAACAGGAACAGGCACCTGGTCAGCAGCAGGAACAGAAACAGGAACATGGAGAGACAGCAGAAACTAAGACACCCATTGATCCATGACCAAGGGCAAACTGTGAACAGGAAAAGGTCCCCTCAACTGAAAACAGAGCCTGGAACCGAGACAGTAGCACGAACAGGACCGAGGAATGGAAACATGATCTGGGACATAAACAGGAGCAGGAATTGGACCGGGCACAAAAGCAGCAATGTAGCAAAGGAGACAGGACCGAGAACTGTGAGGGAAAATGAAGAAGGAACTGGAATAGCAACGGGATCGGGGATAGGAACATGTCTGTAGACTACACTACACAACGCCCTTGGGATATAAACTCCGAATGCAATCACTGGCACAAGAAACAGTTTTGAGCAAAAGATGGGAAAAAGGGACGGGGATTGCATGCAGCACAGATGCCGGAGTTTCCACGGTCCCAACTGGGGGCAATCAGATTGGGAAGGGTAAGAAGCATGCAGTGGTTGATCATGTCGTTCACCCTATCAGTCAATATCTGGTTAAATGAACACGGAAGCAAAGAGTACAGAAGGCCCCCGAACGAGCTATGCCAGATATGTACAGAAGGCGAAAGGAAGACCTTGGGCAGTGCTTGCTGGGATGCGAGAAAGCTGAGCAAGTATGGCAATCACGGGCTGAAAATCTCCACATCCTCATTCCCAGAATACCAGCTGACATTACTGCTAGGAACAACAACACCAAAGACTTGGACAAGTTTTGAAAATAAAAGTTTCCAAATGCTGCGTCAGTATGGAGTCTATGGACTGTCGAGAATTCGGAGAAGACGTGCCAGGAGACAATAGAAACCAAGCTAATGCAGCCCAAGCGGGCCAGCTCAGTTGATTGAGCACATAAGTGGTGCTCATGAGGTCGTGGGTTCGATACCCACCGTCGTCCTCTCGATCCCCGCGGCCTTGTGGGGGTATGCTTCGGGTTCACCAGCGGAGATGATTGGCTTCACCCTCCTGGCTGGTTGTGGAAGTGGCGCTTTCCAGCCTATGCCAGGTGTTGGGAGCTTGGGTGCTGCTCCCCGCACAGACCAGAATTGAGGCCGGTATCAACCCATAACTTTTGCGGCTGCCCGGCTTGTATGCATAGATAGGCTTCACTGCAAAGAGCGAAATATACTGGACTAGGAGTCTAGGAGTAGATAGGTAGGTATAAAAAGAAAGAAAAGGAAAAAGAAACAAAGCTAATGCACATCAGGAAGACAGAGATAATAGCTAAGTGGAGGCGCTCCGAGGAGTAGATGACGGACAAATTTGGAGAAAGCGAGAGAAATAAGAAAGCAGTTCGAGCAAGGAGAACAGGGAAGAAGAAAGGTAGCAATCACTGAGGCAAGCAGGCTAGGCTTACACATGGTGGCCAGGACATGCAGGGGGGCAGGAGCAGCCGGACTATACTCATTCATCAGATATATAGGATAGGGCATAGGAGACTTGGGCATACTGCCGCATACATTAAATAAGAATAGCAGCCTAAGGATAACATAGGAAGATTGGCGGAGAAGGTAAACGTAGGATAAATTAAGGACATGGAGCGAGCTAGAAAGCAGGAGGGTAGAGGGAAGGATAGAAAGGAGAGCGAAAGCGCTTTGGACAAGAATAGAAGAACAAAGCAGGGGTAAATCCTTCCACAAGGGAGCAAGCAATGGCTAAGGCTGTTGGAAAAGAACTCGGGGCAAAATAGGTACAAGGACTGGGGTGAGCAATGGTAAACCCTCCTTAGTGGGGGAATCAATGCAGCTGACTCAGGATTCCTTTGCCATAACAGAGGAAGGCGTCGAGTGTGTAAGTCATGTCAGGGATGCTGAGACCGATTTCCAGCCATCATTCAAACCACCTCTCGTTTTTTGAACTTTTTTCTGTTTGTTTCTTTTTTTTTTTTTTTTTTTTTTTAATGAACGTACATGTCTGTACGTGCCTGGAGGCTGAATTGAAAGGATTTCACAGTACCAGAACCCGATACCGGTTCTGGTGTCATTCCATTTCGAATCCCAGTTCCATGTACCATATTTCGGTGTCTCATGCAGAGTCCTGTAGCCGGTAGGTCCCATTAACTTCCAGTAGGGTTCGTAGAGTCAACCTGTGTAGTCGATTGCATTCGGTAGAATCCAGGTCCAATCGGCACATCAGTCCAAGTCCAGTCAGCAGTCAGTCCCAAGGAAGTCACGGAGATTATCTAAACATTGCAGGCTGGCTGCAGCCACACACGCCAGTGTTCGGTATCGGAAAGTCCAAGGCCACGGGAACTCAACCTTCCCATTCAAGAGTCCATTCTGTCCGTGATTGACGCGGAAGCTGTTATGCTTGTGTGTGACCCGGAACCATAAGAGCTCTCTGAGTTGCTTAGTCGATGGCACCTGGCAAAAGCTCAAGGAAGGCATTCACAGAGTGCTGAGAGGCCTGACGGTAGACTAGAACAAAGAGCGCGCGCGCGCGCGTGCTCGAGCGAGCGAGAGAGAGAGAGAGAGAGAGAGAGAGAGNTCTCTCTCTCTCTCTCTCTCTCTCTCTCTCTCTCTCTCTCTCTCTCTCTCTCTCTCTCTCTCTCTCTCTCTCTCTCTCTGTGGACCAGGTACTGACCTGAGAAAGGTGTTGCCTTGATGCAGGTACGGACATACTCAGGACGAAGCTGGAGCGATGGCGTCACAGGTAAGTCATCAGGTAAGTCCCCTGGCCTCCGCCCATAGCCAACCTACTCCCTGACCTCGCTGCAGTAGACTGCAGCCCAAGCTCGGCCGTCGCCCTAACGCAGCACCCAGCACTGGAAAACTACTAAGCTCTACCTATCGTCGACAACAACTACACATGAAGAATGCCTACCCCAACTAAGGCCGACCAGCTATATATAGCGCTCGTTCGGCCTCAGGTAGTGACCTGAGTGGAAAGTCTTGGCGCCTAAACTTGGCGCCCAACGGTACCGTGAAAGAGTCTGGCGCCTAAACTGGCGCCCGAACGGTACCGTGGCCTGGCGCTCAAACGAAGCGGCGCCCAGGGCCTGCACCCCCTGCTGGTGGCCTAACTGGGCCTCTAACCGGGGGCCTGGCGCTAATGAAACGACGTGCCAGGCCTAATGCTAATTCGCCTTACTGGACCTACCAACCCCGCTAACCCCTAAGCCTACGGACCGGGCCCTGTGGAAGGCCCATGTGGAACAGATAATGCCACAGTATCACTGTGTTCATTCCACAGTTACGGTGAGATCCGATCCATCATCGCATTGTCGTGTCTGGTTCCTTGTTGTGCAACAATGATAATGACAACAATTATTCTGATTACTATGTAGTCTAGAGACGAACAATGATAAACGACAACAAGCAATGCCCACAACAACATGAACAAACAACAGCAAAAACAACAGCAAAAACAGAAATCAACAAATAAATCACAAAAAACAGCACAAACAACGACAACAACAAATGATACCAGCGGCAACAGCAACATCACAACAATGAGGAGGGAGGCAAAGAGAGAGAGAGAGAGAGAGAGAGAGAGAGAGAGAGAGAGAGAGAGAGAGAGAGAGAGAGAGAGAGACCTGTTGATGTTGTTGTGCTGGCGGCCATGCCTATCCAGTTGGGATACAAGACAAACTTGGTGCATAAGACTTGACTTTGTCAAGCTATTTCTGGCCCTCGTATCTTAAGTGTGATTCCCTAGTGCCGAGTGTGGTTTGGTGTGACATGGAGTGCTGATTGGGGTGTGGGATTTTACAGTTCGCATTGGAACGGACTCTCGTTGTCTTCTAATGTATCTGTAGCATGCCAAATGACGCAGACCAGAACCAAGGTCAGTCCTCAAAGATGGAGCAATGATAGCACAGCGGAARACTGAAATACCAACAATCATACCCAATCAATGTCGTGACACAGACTGAACATCACCATCATCATCATCACACGGCCGGAGTGACCTGGTGCGGAACACAGAGACGAAGGATGCCAGGCACGGAACCATACACAGATGGGGAGGAGGGAGGAGAGACGAAGGGGGGAAGATATAGAGAATGTCATCAACCAAAATGTCATCGATCCCAAAAATATTCCCCCACAATGTCTCTGTCCAAATGTCGCTAAGTCCCAATGTCGCAAATCTCTCTCCCTCTCCCTCTCTGTAATGACTTGCTGCTTGCTGCCGTATCTGTCTGTGGGGTTGTACACTACGGTGTGGTTTTGTCTGCTGAGTTTGCGGCATGTTTGTTACTGTGTGATTGCTGTATTTTTTTGTGGTCGCACTGAGGGCTGTCCGCTGTTCTAAAAATAGAATAGAATTAACAGCGGTAGAGTTTGAGGGTTTGTAGACCCTAAGGGGCACTGCGCCCTAAGTGCTGTAGGACTGCTGTAGAGGCCGGGTAGGCCCTTAGGGCAACGGTACCAGTAGTAGTTTCGGTCCAGTAGGTTAGGCCGAAAACTATAGGTAGAGTAGGACCGAGAGTTAGGGACTTTTGGCTTTTCATTTTCGCGGGTCTGCGTTCGTGGCCAACCAAGTTGAGCAGCGCTGAATGCCTACAGCGGCATCTGAGACATCAGCGCAGTGGAGCAGCCATAGCCAGCTTCTGAGACAGCCATAGCTGGGGCTGTGCTCAGCGCATCTATCCCCAGGGGATATCTGCGTTTGGTAGGACTATCGGAGGGTCTTCACTAAGTACATGTGGTTACTAGTGCTGCGGTAGCAGCCAGGCAGCCATAGCTGCCTTCTTCATCGTCAGAGTGACTCATCAGCACTGGAGACTACTTCGCTGTTCATGATCTGCATCTGGGTGTATGGCGCTGGCCTCTGGGAGGCTGTTTCGATGCAGCGCTAGACTCTGAGAGTGTAGTAGTGAGTGGAGTGTGTGGTACTTGAGTGGCGAGATACTGGGTGAACTCTGTTACGATAATTGAGGTTAACTGAGTTGAGTTGGTTCTTCATCTGGGTTACTTTCCAATTGTGATCTTCGCAGTGTCAATTGTGATTGGTTGTTGGGAGTGTGTCAGGGAGAGAGAAACACTGAGTGTATTCT